AGTAAGCAGCAGTGCAGTGTCTCCTCAGAAGTAGGTTCCATCGTCTGCCAAGGTGCTTCCTCCAAGGTGCATGGGTACAGGATAGATGGTAGCCAAGAAGCTTGTAGCACAGTAAACTGATACTTTTATTGTGGTTTAAGCTTCATTGCTTGTTTTCATTGGATGCGAAAAGGTAGAATCCTTTATAGTGTTTGTCTCAATGGTATCCAAGATGCTCTTGGCCTAGGCCAGGGGGTTGGCAAGGTGTGACTGTAACTCCATCAGTTCTGTCTGAAGGACCACAGGTTGCCTAGCCTGTGTTAAAACAAATCTTTGTTAGAGAACTGTTTATTTTATTTATATCCCACCATTTTATTTCTTGCAAGGAACCCAGGCTAGTTTATATAAATCTTCCTCTCCATTGATCTCCATGAGACAGCCTCTGTTATTGGGTGGAATAGAAATTAATTAAATAATTAAATGATAACCTCGTGAGGTAAGTTAGGCTGGAGTGACAGACTGGCTCAAAGTCAGCCAGTGAGCTTCACTGTCAAGTGGGATTAGAGCTGAGTCTCCTGGGTCCTAGCCAACTCTGACCACTACACCACACTGAATCTTTGTTTGAGACAAGAAAAAAATACACCCCCTACCTCTTAATTGCCTCAGCTAACAAGTCACTAAAGATAAAGCCCATGTATTTATTTGGAAGTAGGGATTCCAATTTTTTGTGGAGTTTGCTCACAAATGTAATGTGGCATCTAAGATTGGAACATTCATGACTTGGCAATTACTTCCATACTAACTTAAGTTAGTAAGATTTACTTCAGTGTAAACATTCCTAGATTTGGAATGTTAAATTAGTCTCCTGGGTCTTCGTTCCAACTTCAGTTAAACTACAGTGGTAGAAGCACAATGGAACTTACTCCTGAGCAGGCATGGCTTGGATTGTGCTGTTTGGCCTCTAGGTAGTGTTGGAACCAGTGCATGCCTATTCAAAAGCCCCAGTAGGTTAAGTGGGGCTCCTATGCACAAGTAACCAGTGGCAGAACTGCTGCCAAAGTGTGCTGTTTTAGTCCCACATACCTTCAACCCCACAGCACCCATAAAAGCATGTGTACCTTGGCACCCCCCAGAAATTTACACTACAACTCCCATCAATCCCATTATGGCCAATGGTCACCAGTTTGGGGAACTGTGGTTCAGAACATCTGGAAGGTGCCAAGTTGCCTATGCTCCATGAAAGAATCTGTGGGGAGAGTTTGCTGGGCTCCTCAACATACTGCATGAAAGCACAGTCAGTTGATTTCAACTGGACTGCACTTTGCATTGATGCAATTAGGCAAAATGACAGTCAGAGACCTTTCCTTTGCAGGCACCTAAGGAAGCAAACCTACACATGTTTATACAGGAAAAAGATGGGAATACTGGCAGGGTTGTAGGACTTCTTGTCTGAACATGCATAGGATTGTACTTTGATTTGATCTGTCATTTGATGCTCAGTGTAGCTTCTAAAAAGAAATCTCTCTCTCTCGTTTTTTAAAAACAATTCTTGCTGTGGGGGAAGACAATGAGGTTCTACTAGAGACAAGACATGTTGTGTCTGTGTATTTACTGAACACCACAAACTTATCTGTATTGAATGGAGATCTGCTTCAGTTTCTGAATGCTAAGAGCAGCCAAATAAAACAAACCTTGTTGGGCTGAATAGAACCCAAAATCAAAGGACATGATAACATTTTCATGAAATGTATAAGAAAATCCAGCCCATCGTACACCTCATCCCTAGGCACCCTCCCTGGAGAGTATCCCCTATTATACATAGCAGAACTTGCACTCCTGCCTCATCCATAAATATATGCAAAGAGGACTGATCTTCTGCACTTAGTTGGGTAGGAGATGATCTTTCAGCACAACCACTAGAAGTGCAGGAGGTCCTTGCTCTTTTGAAATAGAAGGACTACTATTTCAGCCTGCAAAACATTCTTGTAGAACTTTCATCAAAGTCAATGGACCCTGTACCTCCATTCTTTCTGTGCTTACTCCAGTGTTAATAGGATCGCAGCTAGACAAACCTAATCTATGGATGTTTACTCAAAAGCAATATCATAGAATCATAGAATAGTAGAGCTGGAAGGGGCCATGAAGGCCATTGGGCCCAACCCCCTGGTGTTGCAGGACACCAAGTTACACCATCCCACTCAGATGGCTGTCCAGCTTCTTTTTGAATGTCTCTAGTGTGGGAGAACCTATGACTTCTCTAGGCAACTGGTTCCACTGCTCTGACAGTGAGGAAACTTCCTGATATCTAGCCTGAATCTGGGTTGTTGCAACTTGAATTGATTATTCCGTGTCCTACACTCTGGCATCAGCGAGAAGAGATCTTGACCGGCCTCTTTGTGACAGCCTTTCAGGTACTTGTAGAGGGATATCATGACTATCCTCAGGGATATATGAGTGTCCTCAGTAGGAACCACTCCAAATAAACATGCTTAGGACTGCAGCCTTTTTTGCATGCAGGCCAGCTTGGTTTGTCTGGGCATGGTGCAGGAAAAGTGAAGCACTTTTAGGCGCCAATGATTTTGCTTGGAAAGGTGTAGGGGATAAAGTGCATACATTCTGCTTTTATTGAAATAAGTCAGATGTTAAAATATTTCAGCCAAATTGTGTCCCTTGTATTCAGGAAGACTGTCACATCATCGAAAAGCAATGTCAACTTGTTTCGATTGAACTTATGCCCAGTGGACTCATTTAGGAGAGACTTACACAGCCAGAGGTTGTGGGCAGAAAAGGTGGGCAGAAGGTGGATCTTCAGATGTTTTGGATCCTGTTACCCAGTATGACTGGCCAGAGCATCTTGGGCACTGTAGGACTTTTTCCACCTAAACATGCAAGGGATTGCACCTTAAATCATCTATCCAAACCCTTGGCATATATGCTTTAGCGAAAGTCTCAATGTAACAAACACAGTCGGGCAGGTTCTACTCAGACGCTATACTCAGCTTCTGGGGCCTTCCCCCAGTGCCAACCCGAAAGGAAGTTCGGAGAGCAGCTTCAAGCAGGGGGGTTTTCTCCGGGTGGGCCCCCCATCAGTGGAACGATCTTCCCAGTACAGTCTGCCTGGTAAAAACCTTGTCATCTTTTTGGCACCAAATTAAGTCTTTACGCCGAGGCTTTTAAAAATATACTTGGCTATCCATTGGTTTGAGGGGATCACCCAACCCAGGCATTGTCCTTTTACAGGGTCTTTCTTTACTGTATGTTTTAGTTGTTTTCATTTTTAGTGTTTCTTTGATAAGATTTTATGGTATTTTATTGTGATTTATTTCCTTGTTTTTATGAACGGCTGTAAACCACTCAGAGAGCTTTGGGTATAGGGTAGTATAGAAATGAAACCAATTGTCATGAATAGTGATATAGAAAAGAGTGAGCCTGTGCCCACACACACACTTATACATGGCAGCAGAGAGTAACAGAAGCAGATGAGTACCTCTGGTTCTCTAAAGCAACCTGCAGCACCACTTAGTGCCAATTGGGCCAATTCTATGAGAGGGAATGGAACAAACAAAAGGAAACTTTAAGGACTTGTTCTGTTGAAAGTGTGTGAACGGTTCTGAATGGTTCCTGTACATGAGAAACTAAGGATCAAGTTTGTGCAAGCAAACTATATATGCTTACCTGCAGGTAAAATGGGAGCACATTCTGCGTAAACACACACAGTGTTGCATTGGAAGTCTGTGTAGGAATTTGGAGTAAGATCATCCCCTCTGCACATTCACTCTCTCTCACACACACTGGATATGGGACGGGTATGCACGTTTACTCAGAAGCAAGTGGCTGTGTAGCGTGTATCGCAATCCTGCTGAGAAGCGATTGCCACTCAGTGCCATGGGACTGTCTCCTGGGTAAGTGTGTGTACAGGATTGAACCTTAAATACATCAGTGTGGAAGCAATATGATTTCAAGAACTGATTTTATTGCAAACACGTAAGTATGTTTAGAATCTGACAGTCCTTTGGTTTTTTCCTCCCTTGTGGAACGTTTAGTAGCCACTCAGGGAACAGGTTAGACCCCCTCATGATTTTCTGCCTCTGGGCCCTATTAGTTTTTGTAATTTTCTGAAAAATATATTTGTTAATTATTTGGGTTGTGTTTTATTTTACCATTGTTTGAAACAGAGTTTTACTTTTGCATTTATATTTATTCCAAAAAAACAAAAGAATTATTTACATGGCTTTTAGTGACCTGGACTAGGTGAATGAGTGTTGAGTACAGGAATTGAACAAGTTTCCATTTTTGGGACCATGTGTGTGGGTGTGTATTAAATTTCCCTACCAGATTGTCCCTTTCCCCAATACCAGGGGCTTCACTGGATAAATCAAATAAAACCACTTCAAATGAGCTTTCAACACTTGCTGAACTTTCCCATGTTTTGGGGCATTAAAACCAGAAGAAAATGAAAGTCACAGAACAAAGCCATTCTCTAAACAGATTTCTAGCTTCAAACCAACCCACTGAATTGGAAATATGGCAGTGTTTCTTTCTTTTTTCTTTTTTTAAGTGTAGGTATTTTCTGGTGTTTTCCCATCAAGTACCTGCCCAATTTCTGTATGGCACACGCCAGGAATCAATAGAAGTTAACAAGTCCTCCAAACATCCCCCCCTCATCTCTTTGTTTAATCGCCTTTACAATCCAGCCGAAGGGGAGAGAATTAAAAATCTTTGAAGTCTCTTGGCTGACAAAAGGTTCAGCCAAGTAGACTTAAAACACTCCCTTCTTTTCCAAAACTGGTTTGTCGAGGAACAATCGAAGGAAGTAAAATTTATGGAGAAATTATACAGTGGATTTGTCACTTAAAATATCGTAACTGTCTCGGGGACAATCCCCCATGCTGAGGATTAATGGTCCCTCCAGACCTTTGATTCACCAGCGCCTTTTCTTTGCCCTTGACAAATTGGATTTTTAGGAACGGGAAGGGCGCCTGGGCCATTGTTGGCCGCCCCATTCAAGAAAGTCCTCGATTATGCGTTGCGCGGCGAGGGGGGGCGGGGGCGGGGGCGGGGGCGCCAGGGAAAAGCTCCATGTGACCCTCTCGGCGGAGCTCGGCAGCTGCTCCGGGAGCCCCAGTCTCTCACCGCCCCAACCGGGCGCCCCGGAGCACCGCGCCGCGCCGCGCCGAGGGGAGAGCCCGCGCCCGGCGCTTGAAAAGGCGGCGCGCACCGCCGGCGCGTCACTCTGCGGGCGGAGATCACGCCGGCGCGGCGCGGCGCGGCGCGGGCGCTGCCCTGCCCTGCCCTCGCGTCCCGCCGCGCTCCTCTCGCTGTCACTGCGCCGCCCCGGCCAGCGCGGGCGCCTGGCGAGCGCCGCGGCGGCTCCCCGGGGCAGCGCGATGCAACCCAGCCGCGCTCCGCCGGCGCCCAACGTCACCGCGGAGAGCAGCATCCCGGCCGGCCTGCGCCTGGGTCCCGTGTCCGGCACCTTCAAACTGGGCAAGTACCTGTCCGATCGCAGGGAGCCGGGACCCAAGAAAAAGGTATCGCTCCCCACCTGGGCGCAGGGCAGGGCAGGGCAGGGGCGCGGCGCGGGCGAGGGAGAGGGGCGCGAAGGAGCGAAGGGGCGCTCGGCGTCTTGGCCAGGAACGGCGCGGCCACGGCCGGCGCCCCGCTTCGGAGCTGAAAGGCGGCGAGAGGTCTGCCCCTTCACCCGAAGCGCTGCCCTCTTCCCGAGCCTCGGGGAGGCGAGAGGTCCGGCGGGGGGCGGCCGTCTCGGGCTTCCGCTGCGGCGACCCCGCGGCCATCCGAGCGAGGCTGCGGACTTGGGACGTGCGCCCTGGATGGCGTGCGGGAACCGGGCAGCGGGAGGCGGGTCAGCAGCCTCGCCGGTTACTTACTTGTTTTCTTCCCCATCCCCAGGATTCTGGCTTTCAGAACGAATAATTTCTTCTGGCTGAAGCCCGCCCCACTCCGAATTGTCACGAGGGCGGTGAAGGCAGGGTTGAAATTAATTCGTTAAATTTAATTAGTCATTCATTAAATTAATGAGTTAATGTCGCAGCCCCTGCTGTCTGCGATACCAGCTCCTTCGCTGGATGCCCTCATTTTTTGCCAGCTTTTTTCGGGATTCGGGGTGGTTGGTTTCGGTTTTGCACGGGGAAGTGGGTGGAAGATAAATCTTAGATGAAACTGAAAGCAAGCGCAAAGTTCCAAAGCCACACGGTAAGATTTGCCTCTTATACAGGAGAAAGCTGACGAGGAAAGGCAAACAAAACAAAAACACGCGAACAAATCAGCAGCCAACCTCAGGCAAAACAAAACCGGCCTCTAAGCACAGATAATCTGAACTGAGGCTGATGAAGTCCTGGGCAGCACCTTACAGTCTGAGCCTTGTTGTGGCAGCAGATTTCTTCGGCTAGCGACCGTACGAATGGTAAAAATGCACGCACATAAGAGAAAAGTTTGGGGAAAAGGGGTCCAGGAACCATGAAGTGCTGGAGCAAACCGCAGGGTTGCCTCCACTTGGTCTATATAGATTCCAGATGATAAGGACAGAGTGACCCAGGGAAGAATTGGAGGAGATTTGCAATGAATCCAGCGGGTGATTCTACAAACACCCCTCCCCAACCCCCCATGAGCCACATATCTCATTCATCTGCTGTCTTTTATCACTGAAATTGTCCCCCTTTCAAACAAACAAACAAGTTTCCATTTTTATTTTGCATTTAAAAAAAATCAATCCAAATAAAATGATTTTGCCAAGAAAAAAGGACCGGCGTAATCAAGCTGATTTCCCCAAGCGGCTTCATACTGGCGTTTCTTTCGTGCAAATTACAAAGAAGTCTATAAGAGGAGCCCAAAGTGTAAAGGATTGTGTGTGCGTGTTTTGTGTGTGTGTGTATGGGGGGGGGGAGTTAACGAGGGGCTATATGCAACCTTCCAGTCATCTCCGCGGATGAACTTAGCATAAGGCGACGTTGTCTCCTTTCTTCCCAAGCACGGAGGTTTGTCATAAGTTCCGCTCGGATGCTGAATGCCCTTTAATTGTTTTTAAACGCTCTGCCAGCCCCTTCAAATTTATTTCTCATCTGGCTGCGTTGCTTGCGCTCTTTAGGCTGCCTTTGTTGGCGTGACTTTTATTGCCTGGTCATTCAGCGAGGGAGCTCCTCATGCGCTCTCTCTGTCCCTGGGTAGGACCAAGCAGATGATGAAGGATGAGACAGACTTGTGGAGAAACGGAGTTGCTTCTGCCCGCTTCGTCCTGCTCCTGAAACGCGGCTGATTATCTTACTTGTTAATTAATTGCCCCGCGGGGGCTTGGAGCCCATACAATGTAAATGCATCCATTGGCAATGGCTATGATTTTTTAAGGCTGGTCCAAGGAAGCAATACGAGGATGCAGCGATAAATAAAGGCCAGTGAGGATGAAAAGAAACGGAAGGGACTTTGACCAGAACAGTTTTCCCACTCTGTTTGGGATGCTTTTAAAAGGAACATATGGAGTTTGGGAACTATTGACCGCAGGGCTCCTTCGTCTCAGCGCGCTTGTGAAAATAGGACAGTCGGTTTCCAGCCTGAGGCTACAATCCTGAACGCACTTACTTGGGAGTAACTAGTACTGTATTCAGTGGACTTACTTACGGGTAAAAATGAATAGAATTGGCTGTCCTTATTCATAGTCACAGTACGCAAACCAAGGAAGCCGAAACACTTGGATTCAAAGCGGATGGGCTACTGGATATTCATCTCTGATTAAGCCACCCTGCATCGACTAATATTTAAGTTTGATCCTAAAGGCAATCTATGGAAGGGAGCTCCGCTCAAGTCAGTGGGGTTCTTTCCAAATGCACGAATCGAAGATCTGGGTGAAACTCCCCAGTACTGCCTGGATTTAAGGGGATGAGTCTGTTAAATGCACTCAACGAAACGAAAGCTGCGAGTCCCCACCACGCTTATGGGGACACACTGCCAGCTAAAAGGGGCGATAACCAACTGAATGGATAGGCGTAATGCTGCACACCTAGGCGCGTCTCCTCGAAAGCAAGACCCTTTCTAATAGAATAGGAATTTCCCAGCGAGCGCTCCCATTCCGCCGAGCCGCCGCAACTGGTCTTCAAACTCCTTGAAGAATGAATGGCCTTGCTTTCCTCAAGTTGCGACTGGCGATGGCTGGGGAGGGTTGCCCTGCCGTGGGTGCTTACCTAGCGGTAAAACCCACTGAACTCAGCGAGGCTTATTTATGAGTAGACTCATGCATAGGATTATTCTGTTAGGCTGCAACCCCAGGACACATCAAGTTAGGAGTAAATTGCACGGAAGGCACTAGGACTTTGTAATCCTATTTATGGGATTACTCTGTTGTTAATCTTATGGCCATGATATCCCCAAGGCCCTACTCTTTAAGATGTAAACTGTCTCTTCCCCCTTCTGCTTCGTCTGTTCATTGCACGAGCTCTTTGTCGGGTCGAGGTAAAGCAGAATTTAGTTAAACTTCAGAAAGAAAGGAACGGGCCGTTCCTTCGAAAAGGCTTTTTGTCTGAAAGCCACGTTTTTGTCGAGCTGCTCGACACACACGGAAGCGGTGGCTGAAGCAATAGCGCTGGCCGTCGGACTGACAGCCGTTGCCGTCCTGTGTTCCAGGTGCGGATGGTGAGAGGGGAACTGGTGGACGAAGCCGGAGGCTCCGCTGTGGAGTGGATAGGGTTAATCCGGGCTGCCAGACACTCCCAAGAACAGACCTTGGAAGCTATTGCAGATCTGCCGGGCGGACAGGTACCTGCGCTGGGCGCGGTGGCGTTGGCGGCGGACCGCGCGCCCTTCGGTCTCGGCCGCTCGAGCTGCCCCGCCGCCTCGGCCGCTGACGGGACCTCTCCTTCCTTTCTCCTAGATCTTCTACCGGGCGCTGAGAGATGTCCAGCCGGGCGAGGAGCTGACCGTGTGGTATTCCAACTCCTTGGCGCAGTGGTTTGACATCCCCACCACGGCGACGCCGACGCACGACGAGAAAGGTACTGCAGCACCTTGGCCAGCGACTCGCCCGGGGCGGCAGAGCAGCCGCGCGGCGCCGCGTTACGGGCTGCCTCGCCTCGCCTTTCGGAGCGGGGGCGGGGGGGTTGCTCTGACCCGCAGGAAGAACAGGGTCGCGCCCCTTCGTTCTAATCCTAAACAGCTTGACTCCGAAGTCTGCCCTCCCGAGTTTACACGTTAGTCATTCACTGAGGAGTGCAATCCCTTGTCTGGGTTAAGCGCAGGACAAAGGGCGAAAAGCTCGATCCCACTTCATGTAAGGAAGGCCAGTTTATATTGTAGGTTGAATAATCGTGGATTATTCGGTTAAAATCAACACTGGTTTATTTGGCAAGTAAGTGTGCTTAAAGAGTGTGTGAGTGTGCAAAGGGGGGAGGGAGGGAAAGATATTAGTCGTTCATTTATTTATTAGATTTATATCCTGCTTTTTTTCTTTTTAAAGAACTCAAGGCAGTTTGCATAATTCTCCTCCTCCTCCCCCTATCTTATCCCCACAACAGCCCTGTGATGTAGGTTGGCCTGAGATTTGGTGATTGGCCCAAAGTCACCCAGTTGGCTCCATGGCTGAGCAGGGACAGGAACCCAGCTTGCCTGCACCCCAGTCCCATGCTCTTAACCACTACAGCACGCTGGCTCTCAATTAAACTTTTTTGGTCACAATCCTATTGGTCACGATGCAAGTTTAGACAAAGACTTATTACTCCCAGAATTCTCCATCAGCTTTTTCCATCTAAACATGCAAAGACAGTGACCCTCATCACTTTCTTATCATGTTTTCCTGGGCAGCATTTAACTTGGGGATCCGGGTGAAATTACTTGGAAGTAGATCCCTGAACCGAGTCAGTGGCAGTGGTGCCTTTTAGCTCAAAAAGCATGGGGTCTCTTGCAAAGCAGTGTTGGGCAGCAACTGGAACTTACTTTCATTAGCATTAATGGGGTTTGCTTCTAAGTTAGCTCTAATTAGAAATGTTGATTTACAGTTAAAAGACAGGAAGACCTTAGTCAAGTTAAGTGAAAATACTTGGGTGGGGGTGAAAGAGGGTGGGTGCAGAAAGGGGAGGGAAGCTCCTTAAACTGAATTGGCTGAACAAGATTGTGGGTCGAGCTGCAATGAAGAGGCAGAAATGGGCCACAGCTAGCAGCTATAGGAACTGCAGCTAGCATGCACCAAGAATGAAAATGCATCCACGTAAATGTTGACTCCCCAGCACAGTTAATCTCTAGAGCAGAATGCATACAGATACTGTTCTTGTCATACTGTTTGCAAAATACTGGAACATTTCAACCAGGCTACTGATCTGCCTTTTCCAACGTGAAAAATCCTCCACACACTAATGCATGCACGCAAGCACACCTGCCTGTATATTCATTCCTATTATAAAAAGGCCTGTTTAAAAGTCTTCCGGCACCCTGTTTTTTCCTTGCTCTTTTCTTTGTGCATTTTATGACTTGTACCCATACTTACCTGCTTTCTTGGAACAGCAGGATCCTGTTAATCTTTGAGGCAACAGTGATAACCTTTTTAATGCAGTCAAATGTATGTGTATGTTGGCACACAGAACTGTTGCAGGTGTCTGACACTACTACCCTCTGCTCGAAAGTCTTCAGAAATTCCTGAGACAAAATGGAACAAAGTTCACTAGATATTTCTTGTGGTGCTAAGCTGCAAGATATCTTCTGTTTATGGATTGCCCCTTCCTCATTATTCATGGGCCGAGAGCTTATATTTTGAACTGGATTTTAGTTTCCTCCTCCTCCTCTTCTTGAGGGTGCATTTTCGCCATGGTAATGAACCTTTGCATCCTCTTGTTTTCATCCTGATATCCTTTCCAGCTCTCCTTTCCAACACACTCTAGCTTGGGGATGACCCTGTGTTCATTGACTCAAATGAGTTTGCTTCAAGACAAGTTGACAGAGAAGTAAACGAAGCCCTGGGAATCTTCATGTCCTGTAATCATATCTGCAGATTACTGTGCTGCCCAAGTAATTTTCAGAAGATAACACAACAGAATCCCATTAAAATGCTGTGAGTGTAATGGCTGTCTTGGAAATAATCTTCAGCAGTAGAATCTACAGTGAGACTCTGATGACAATTGTTTGCACACGTTTCTTGGACTAAGTCCAACTGAACACTAGGTGCCTTCCTGCAGTCCAAAATATGTTTTAATTAAGATTTTGTCAATGTGGATTTTATTGCTAGCTGTCTTGAGCTGCATTTCTGGTGTGGTCCAGAGGGAAAGAGCAGAAAGTTAGAACAGAAATTCAGCGAATCCATGAAGCTGCAGTATTAGGTGTAATGAAGTATTAGGTGCCGTAAAGCATCCAACAGCCCTATAAACATAACGATTCCAGGGGAATTTATTTCTGCAAGAGAGCACAAGCTTTTTCTATGTGCCCCATTCACTTGAATTGCTCCGATGGGTTTACACTTCAGAGAATGACACAGGCCAAACCAAGCTGGTTTAGCACAGTCATGAATCACTATGAGCAGCAGCTTAAATCCTGCTTCCACTCACTCTGTGGATGGGGCAGCCTACCTATAGAAGGCTTTCATCCGCATTCAGTCCCATCCAGTGTGCACGTTTATTTGGAAGGGAGCCCCACTGCCTTCAAAAAATGATGACGTGGCAGCCTTTGCAAGCTGAGCTTTGCAGAGCATTGAGTTGAAGAATTAAGAACCTATGTACATGTCCCTGGGAATGAGAGCCCTTGAAGCCAGTGACACGTGCTTCTGAGTAACTGATGTAGCCTGAGGAATGCCTCCCAGGACAACTGGTTACAAACTTTGGGGCTATTTAGGAGAAAGGGAGGATGGAAATGCTTGATGCAAGTTGAGGGAAAAGCAGAGCATAGCTCAACTATGGAAATTGCTGCCATCAGCTGTCCTTATAGACCCTAACTTAGGGCCTCAATAGATACTACTTTAACTCTGCATCTAACAGATCCCTTTGCTCTTCATTTTTATGCTAGGGTAGGCGCAGGGTCACCAGCCAGTATGCACATCATAGCATGGTGCCGATGCTGCACCTACTCGAAAGTTGTTTTCTTTTTTAAGCACACAGTTGCTAAAAATAGAGTGAAAGTAATGTGTGTTTTGGCTCTTAGATGGTTTTAAGAAGTGGCTTGACAGGTTTAGGAATGAGGCATTTATCAATGATGGCTATATAGTACTTCTACCATCTGGGAAACAACAGCAGGAGAGTGTTATTGCCCTCATGTCTTGCTTGTGGTCTTCCCAGAGACCTCTGATTTGCCATGGTGGGAGCAGAAAAGTGGACTAGTTACATATTTGTCCGAACCAATAGGACTCTACTTATGCTCTTACAACTGAGTAAAAATGCACAGTACTGAGTGGCATCATGAGATGGAACCAAGGCGGGTCCAAGACATTTTGCTGCCTGAAGCAGAATGACAAATGGTACCCCACTTCAGTCAAGGAGCAGAGGACCCAAAATAAGGCAAATTATTCTTGCACAAGGGGCAGAAAATCCCACAATGATCCTTCCTGTCCTTGACAGTAAAAATACAGTAACAAATTAAGCAATTAACAATTTGCTCCCTTTTCAAGACACCCAGAATCTGCTGCCTGAGCCAACTGCCTCACTCTGGCTTATGACAGGACTGGTGCATCTGAATGGAATATCATTAGTTAAAATGAAGCATTTGATTCTAAGGCAATTAGTCCCAGTGAAGTCAGACCTGTTCTTCCAGGTACTTGAAAATCCCACTGATGAATCAATAAGAAGGTTGGCTATTGGCTAGCACTGGCCTGAACATTTTAGTATACCTTGGTAGCTAATGTGTCCTATGATCCTGTGTGCCACTGAAAGTTGATGCAGATATATGTTGGGGAAGCTCTCGCCAGTTTGTTTATCACCTAATTCATGCCTTTAGAAGGGCCAAACCGTTCATTGTTTCAAGTCCAAGTGCTACAGGGAACTGTATTCTGGAACAAGCAAAAAGAAAGAAAGGAAATTCCCTCAAACTGCCAAAAAGGAATTATCCAAACAGAAAAAAGTAACAATTTTAGTGTGAGAGATCAGAGGAGACCTCTAATAGAAGAAAACTCGTATTACAAAAAGTTCTGGACACTAGCATTAATCTCATCTTCATATCCCAAATAAATGTCAACTTTTACTGATCTTCCAGGGGCATGACAGTGGGAGACCTTAATCTTGCTCACTTGGGCATTATTCAGATGTGTTGGATTGCAGCTCTTACCATTCCTTACTTGCAAATGGAATTTCAGTAGGCTACAGCTGGTGCGTCGGGATCTCAGGCACCTCCATGCTTAGCTGGAGGTGGAAAGGATTGAACTTAGAGCCTTCACTGTGCAAAGAAACCTGTGCTTTGATGCTAAGACTGCTAGTCTAAGGCAGCCCTCCCTAACACTGGACTAAAACTCTTAGCGTTCCTGACCATTGGCCATATTGGTTGAGCCTGATGGTAGTTGCAGTCCATGGCAATGGGGTTGGAGAAGACTGCACTTGGCACTAAGCCCCATCAAACATGAAGAAGAAAGCATGCACTCAGTTTCTTCAGTTAGACACAGGTAATCACCCTTTCATGTTTTAGTATGTTGTGTCTTTGCTCTCGATTATCATTCTGTATAACCTTGAGATATATTATTCATTACATAGCTAATCAGGAAACTTTTCCAGTAGCATCTGGAAGATTTTAGCTCTGATACAGATATCACAAAGTATCCCACTGAGGCCTAGTTCACTTGGATCAAGCACCATTAAAATCAGCAGGATAGTCTTTTGAGTAGACATAGGACCACACTATTAGTTGGGGAGGTGTAGCTGCTCTATCCAAATATGATGCCAGCCACCCCCAACTTGACACCCTCCACAGGTACTAGAAATACAACTCCCATAATACCCATCCGTGGTGGATGGAAAACTGTGTCACACTGTAGGATAAAACTCATGTATTTTTGCACCAACTGGCAATGCTTGAATGGAACTACCCTTCTTGT